AACCCTAGAAATCAGAATATAAAAATGCACCAAGGTACTGTAGTTTTCATAGTTAAAACTTGGCATTGTTTATCAAAGCTGGTCAGTTAAGTGGACACCTGGAATTAAAATCCCATAGACATTTCAGAAACATCAGCCACCCCTCCCCAAAGGCTTCAGGAATGACATTTAGCAGAAGCTCAGCTCTATGAAATAGCTTTTTCTGGCTCCCCCAGTGCCCTCCTTAGGCCCTGAGCAATGCCCCCCACCCCATCCCCGAGAGCTGATGAATTTCTGCCTATCAGAACCCCTCCCTGACTGGTCAGATGGTGGTGGCTTCGGCTCAGGAAGGAGGCTGAGCAAGGGACCCCACCAAGCTTGTTTTGAGACTCCTTCCTTCTCTTGGGTATCGGGGATCAAGAAATCCACCACAACCCCCAGCCAAAACCTATTAAAGTGTCACTTGGCAGCTTTGGGTTTCCCTTCTTTTGAAAGACAAAGCAAGCAGTCAAATGGCCTACTTTGTTGGGAGAAGTGGGTCGCGGAGGGAGGCCTGGCGAGGGGCCCAGGGCACCGCAGCTCAGTGAGCCAGAAGTCAGCCACCACCCTCCCATTTTCAGCATGGACAGTCTGGCGTTGGCCAGTACTGGAGCAGTGTGAGACCACACTGGGTGACCCAGGTTCACACTTGGTACAGACAAATGGGCTGTCCTGGGGAGAGCTGAATGGACAGGCCTGGAGCCACCGGGGAAAGTGGCCAGCTTTGTCCCAGCACTAATCTCTGCTTTATCTACTGAGCTTGAACTAGGGGATGGGAGGGGCAGGAATCCTGCCTATTTGCTACAGGTGGGGGCTCTGCTTGGGGAAAATGGCAGAAACATCCAGAGTCAACTCATCCCAAAGGGGCCTATTGGCACCCTTTTTCTCAGAGCCTCAGCCTTCTGGGCCCTAATCCTGCTTAGAACAGGAAATTGGAACCAGAGGGTAGAAGGAGAGGAAGCCCCCTCAGATTAACCCCTCTGGTAGACACACATACCCTCCACATGGTTCTTGTTAAGGAGAAGCAGGCGGGAGCCTTCTTCATCCCAGAGCTTGTGTGTACCTTGTTCTGAGGGCCAAAAAAGAGGCTCTCTGCCTTGGGGACACTCAGGCTGAGTGCGGCAAGGACACCTTACAATTTTGTATGAAAACATCAGCCCTCTGCCAGCAGGTGAAAGGAGAGAAAGGGAGGACACTCGTGTTCACTGACGGTCGCTCCTGCCTCGTGCCTGCTGCGGCAGTCCCTAAGGGCCTGTGCAGCTGCCCTTACACTGAGCAGAGCCAGTTGGTGGGAGCAGGCTGGGAGTTGGAGATGAACGTGAAGGGCTGCCATCCTGCCCCAGGTCCGTGCCCCTCCTGTCACAAACCACTGCTCCTGTGGCGGCAGCTGGAGCAGAAAGGGGCCTGGCCATTCCCAGGAGCCTGCAGGAGGGGCCACACACCCTGAACAGGCCTGATGCCACAGCATCACCCTGGGATTGCAGCACTGGCAGGGTGTCCACACTGGCCACCTCAATGCCCCCCACCCTTTGCTTTCCCCCGAAAGCAAAAATTCTTCAGGGGACCCACCGTCATCTGCTGGAGGTCCCGGGAGAGCTGGAAGAGCCCCAGCCAAGATCCGAGGGTGGCCATGCCTCATTCCTTAAGCAGGTGCCATCCAGAGGCCAGCAGGAAGGGCAGGGCTTGGGCCCATGTCTCCCTGGGAAAATGGCATGGTGGGGCACGGGCCCCTCTCAGCTCCGACTCTGAGAAGCAGCATCCTTGACCGCCCAGCAGAGCCCAGGACTCCCAACGAGGCAGGGGTCTCCGACAGCCAGGCTGAGCGTCCTGGGGCCCTGCCTGCAATGGGGGTGCAACCCCAGCACTGCACAGACACTTGGGGGAGAGGAACCCAGGCCAGCCTCTTCCAGGAACCACCTCAGCCTGCATGGAGGGAGAAACCGAATCCATCTCCTTGGGCCAAGGCCACGGCCGCCTCTGTTTCCGCGTCTGTTCAGCCTTTGGTTTTTTTCTTTAAATGGAGGTTCTTGTAACGGAGAAGGTCTCTCTACCACTAAAGAGGAGGAGGCCAAGGCGGCAAGGCCCCCGTGGTGTTATGTGGGGCAGAGCAAGAACCCTGAAAAGGAGGAGTGGATATACTCAGTGGAGTAGAGGCCGTTGGCCTGGTCCGACGGCATCTGCACCCAGACCTGGTCGTTGGGCCGCAGCTGGAGCACAGCCCCGCCAGATGCCTGGTCCAGGTAGCCCTTCTTGTATTCATCGTAGGTGTATGTTGCTGGCACGTTGTTCTTGTACAGGGCCACCCACACATTGGTGCCCTTGACATGCACGTGGTAAGCAAAGTAGTAGACCCCGCCCACAGGGCAGGTGAAGATGCCAGTGGCTGGGTTGTAGCCACTGTGGCCATTGTAGAGAGTCCGGTCAAATTTAACAGGCATGCCGGAGGCGGGAAAGGGCGAAGTGAGCACAGCGGTGAAGGCAGGCGTTGTGTGGGCCGACAGCTCGCCCAGCCCAAACTGTGGCTTGCCCCCCTTGCCCAGCACAGCGCCCTCCACTCCACCATTGGGCAGGTGCAGGCCGGCGATGCCAGTCTCATCAAAGGCCCCGGGGGCTCCAGGGGGACCAGGTGGCCCGGGAGGCCCAGGAGGGCCAGTGAGTCCTGGGGAACCGGGGACCCCAGGAGGCCCTGTAGGCCCAGCCACTCCGGGTTCCCCCACTTTCCCCTCTCCAGGGGGTCCTGGCAAGCCCGGTTCACCCTTCAGGCCTGGCAGTCCCTGGGGCCCAATAGGACCTGCTGGGCCCTGGAGACCTGGGATTCCTGAGGGGCCCCTCAGGCCGGGCTGCCCAGGAAGCCCCAAGTCACCCTTCTGCCCCAGGGCTCCTGCCACCCCTGGTCCCCCAGGGCGGCCTGTGAAACCAGGCTCACCTTTGGGCCCAGTAGGTCCAGGGGGTCCATGGGCCCCAGGAAGTCCTCTCTCTCCTGGGAGCCCAGGTTTCCCAGCCAGGCCACTAGGCCCCTGGTCACCCCGAATACCAGGCACTCCTGGGGGTCCTCCAGGCCCTGCCTCCCCCTTGGGCCCAGGGGGCCCACGTCTGCCAGGGAGCCCTGCAGACCCTGGAAGTCCTGGGGGGCCCCCAAGGCCTTGTGGGCCCTGCTCCCCTGGCTCCCCATCCTCACCTGGCTCCCCCCTATCCCCCAAGAGTCCTGGGACCCCAGCTGGGCCCCTGTCCCCCTTAGGGCCTGGCAGTCCTGGCACCCCATAGCCAGTGGGGCCTATCAGGCCAGGGGGGCCCCGGGTTCCTGGTTCCCCTTTGGCCCCTGCTGGGCCCTGTGGCCCTGGTACCCCTGCCGCCCCTGGTATCCCCACACCATCCACACCTGGGGGCCCTTTTGGGCCCAGAGGCCCTGGCTCCCCCCTGGGTCCTGGCACTCCAGGAGGCCCCAACTCACCCTTATCTCCTGGGGCCCCAGGAAGCCCATCCAAACCCGGTTTGCCCAAGCCAGCTGGACCAGGGAGGCCAGGTGGTCCAGGGGCACCTCCCTGCCCTGGGGCCCCAGGTAGCCCTGGCTGGCCTACTCCATTATCCCCCTTGAGGCCTCGATCACCTGGGGGCCCAGGCTCCCCCTGGGGCCCTGGCTCCCCTCCGAATCCTGGGGGCCCTGGCACTCCTTGGGGGCCTGGCTTCCCAGGGACAGCAATGCCTGAGGGTCCAGGGAGGCCAGGCGGTCCTGGGGGGCCCCGGAGGCCCTGGTCCCCTCGTATCCCCGGCTCTCCCCGAAGCCCTGGCTGCCCTGGTGGTCCGGCCTTGCCCGGGAGCCCCGGGGGACCAGCCTTGCCCATCCGGGAGAAGCCAGGGGGCCCAGCAGGGCCAGGCTGTCCATGTAGCCCTGGCTTTCCAGTGCCTGGTTTTCCTGGGAAGCCAGGAGGGCCAGGGGGCCCCCGAGGCCCAGGCTTCCCAGGCGGACCAGGCTCGCCTTTCAGGTCCATTGGCAGCAACGGTAGAGGCATTTCTGAGGGAGAGAGAGAGAAGGGGCAGTCAGGGGCCTGCCGTGGAGACGGTTGGACCCTTCTACCCACTCCCCCATGGGGTACACTACATCTGCTCATAAAGGCCACACCCCGTCTCCCCTTCGTGTGTACATGGATGATAGAGTTTAGGGATGGTCCAGTGGCCATCTTGGGGGCTCCTAGCACCCAACCTACCCAGGTCTTGATCCTTCCCAAAAACTTGGGTGACTCTCGTCCCCGCAAGACCTGGAGGGGGAGAAATGGCCGCCAGGTGGCGCCAGCAGCCCTCCTTAGAACCAGTTGCAGCGGGGCGCCCCTACTTCCGTCCCTCCTCCTCCCCACCCCACCTGAAGATCACCTCTGCCAGCCGCCCACTTCCGGCCCCTCGGAGGGCCGAATCCCCAGACCGGCGTCAGGAAGAAAAGGGAAGTGGAGAAGGTCTCTGCTGGAGACGGAGGGGCTGTGGCTGAGGGCCAGGGAGGAGCCGGTGGGGGTCAGGAGCTGTCTGAGGCCCTGCGGGGCGGGGAGGCGCTCACCCAGGTACTGGCCCTTGCCCTCGCGGAAGGGCGGCCCCACGGGTCCTTTGTGCATGGGCTGCACGTACTTCACCGGCGTGTAGCCCGCTGCCCCGCCGGCCCCGCCTCCGGTGGCCGCCCGCGGTCCGCACCCCAGCAGCAGCAGCGACAGCAGTGGCAGCAGCGAAGATAGGGGCGTCAGAGCCCCCCGCATGGCGTCCGCGGGCGTGCTGCAGTGAAGAATCGAGACGGGCCATCGAGCCAGCCCCCGGGTGGCTTAGCACCAGACCCAGGGGCTCACAAAAAGATCAGAATGTACACCTTCCAGAGCACCCATCTGACCTCGGCACACCCCTGCTAAAAACCCTTTGATAACACCCACTACCATGTGCTGGGCTGGCTTTCTGCCAGGTACTGGGCTGAGTGCTCCAGAGACAGGAACTCACTTAATGCTCTCAATACTTTAACAAGTTATTATTATTGTCATCCCCATTTTCCAGATGACAAAACTAAAGCAAAGGTCAGCAGAACTGGGGGCTGACTAAGGTCTGTCTGACTTCACATTATGTTGATGGTGCCCTTCTGGGGCTCCCCTCTGCCTTCAGGATCCTCTGTGGTGTCTGGCATGGCATTCAAGACCTTTTTAAATCTAGTCTGTGCCTGTGGCTCTGACCCTATCACCTACCACCCCTGTCTCTCCTCCTCCTCTCCACCATACCTTTGCCCCAGACATGAGGCAGCCTCGCACTTCTGGGCCTTTGCCCCTGCTGATTCTCCACCTGCGATGTTCTTTCAATTTCCTACTCATCCTTTAAGGCCTTTGGGAAGCCGTCACCCCTTCTGCTATAAAGTTAACCCCTCACTCCTTTGCCTCCTGACCTAGCCCTGTCACAGCACTTAGCTCAGCTCTGAGAACAAGGCCTGTCCAACAAGATGTGGACACCCAGCCTGCGTTTTCCACTTGCCAGCTAGAGTTTCCACTCTGTGAACCTCACTTTCCTCATGGGACAAGATGTCCACACAAAAACACATACCCAAATGTTCATGGCGACATTATTCATAACAGCCACAAAGTAGAAATAGCACAGATGTGCACTGGACAGATGATGGCATGACCATACGACGCAGTATTATTCAGCAATAAAAGTAAAATACTGCTACGTGTCACATTACAGGAAAACCCTGACAACATCATGCTAAGTGAGGAAGCCAGTCACAAATTGTATATGATTCCATTTATATGACGTGCCCAGAATAGGTAAATGTAAAGAGACGAAAGTGGGCTAGTAGTTGCTGAGGGCTGCTGGAAGGGGGAAAGGGAGTGACCACAATGATGGGTACAGGGTTTCTGGTAGGGATGATGAGAGCATTCTAAAATTGACTGTGGTAAAGGCTGCCAACGGCAAATACGTTTAAAAAAAACCATTGAATCGGACACTTTAAATGGGCCAACTGTTACGATGTGTGAATTGTATCTCAATAAAGATGTTATTTTTATTTTATTATTTTAGAGACAGCATGCGCATGAGCAGCGGGGAGAGGGGCAGAGGAAGAGAGAGAGAATCTCAAGTAGGTTTCATGCTCAGCATGGAGCCCCACGTGAGGCTTGATCCCACGACCCCGTGATCATGACCTGAGCCAAAATCAAGGGTTGTATGCTCAACCAACTGTACCACCCAGGCATGCCAAAGACGTTATTTTAAAACGCTGGACTAACAACCCGCTTCTCAGGGCTGCCGTGATGAGAGGCGATACTGTACCTGCCTCTCAGTGGGCACCCATCAATGTTGGAAGGAGAGACTACCCAGCATTTTGCACATGCGAGGCAAGTCCCTCCCCTGCCTCCCTGCTCTGGGCTCCTCTCACCCCCAGGGGCCTCTCCACACATGTGCCTGAGTGCACGAGGTGTTTGGGGGTGGGTTATGTACATCCAGGATGCGTGTGGGGAGCAGAGCCCTCCCTGGTGCTGGGCTGAGTCTAGAGGTGCTCAGTATCACACAGAGCTTCACAGGAATGGATGCAGAGCTCAGGAGAAGGCCGGTGAAGCTGCCAACCCAGCTCTGCCATCAACCGGTTTTGTAACATTGGGCCCGTAGGTCCCTCAAGCTCCCCTGAGCCCCAGAACAGTAACAGTAACGTCCACCACCTGTGGGGCTCCCCAGCCCAGAGCTCTGCAGGCTCCGTCTCACAGGATCCTCTCAGTGACCCCTGGGGCTCATACAGTTATTATCCCCATTTTATAGATGTAGAAACAGAAGCTTGGACTAGAAGAATCCTGCCCAGGATACAGCCCTCCACACAGGCCGCCTGTTCTGTCTGCACCACGACTGATGCCAGGACTGAGGCTGCAGCCTCTGGGCCCGGCCCTCAGGTGAGTCCCGCTGATGGAGGCTCTGGCTGGCACTGCCCTAACGTTTCAGCCCTGAGAGGCTTGCTGGTCCTGTTTTCCACATGAGGAAGCACGTGCGGTCCGAACCTAAACCTGGAGCCCCAGCCCCTAACCACCGTATTGTCCCACCTCTCTGGCACGGGATAAGGGTCCTCCTGCACAGGCCACTTGCACCGGGCAGGGGCCCTGGAGTGGGGGTGCTCACCCATTCACACAGACAGAATGATCTGCCTGGTGGGTGGGCAGGGGTGTGAGGGAGCAGGCAGAGGGGGCAGAGCTTGTAACAAGAAGCAGGGGGAGGCAAGGGGGCCGTTCTGGCCTGGTAGGCCAGAGGCCACGGTCATGGCACTGTCACAGGAGGAGTCAGCACAGCCCTGGTTCGGGGAGCCCTCACCCTCTTCCCATGCTGAGCTGAGGCCTCACTGGGGTAGAGGGTGATGGAGGGTGAGGCAAGCCTCGGGTTTAGCTGGAAAGATGCTTAAGGCAAAGGACTGTGCGGGAGCACAGGCAGGCAGGACACCGAGGCAAAAGTCCCAAGTCCAGCCAGGAGCCCAGGCAGGACCCCCCAGCCAGCTCCCCATCTTACAACCTCCTTGGCAATGCGGATCTCTGGGAAGTGTCCCCGCCTCACACCCTGTGGCTTCCTAAACTCGCCCTGTCCCAGCACCTCCTGCACTGTGCCCCCTCCACTGAGGGTGATAGGTCTGCTGCAGGACCCCAGAGCTGATGTCTTTCATTCCCCGGGGGGCGCCTGGGGGGCTCAGTCTGTTAAGCATCCTACTTGATTTTGGCTCAGGTCATGATCAGGGTTTGTGGGATCGAGCCCTGTGTCATGCTCTTCACTGACAACACGGAGCCTGCTTGGGATTCTCTCTTTCTTTCTCTCTGCTGCTCCCCTGCCACCCCCACCCCCCCACCCTCGCCGCTTGCACTCTAAATAAATAAACATTTAAAAATAAAT